TGCAAGAACTCAGCTAACCGATGTTTCCGCATATAAAAGCTATCTTCAAGTTTTGTACACTAAAGGAAAGTTGTCATGTTATTTTAGTGTCTGTGTGTTTAACTAGGATTATTCTTATTTATTAGTATTTCTTTGTAAAATATTAAGCTAGTTGGTTTAAAACCCAGAAATTGTATAGACAGATGTCTTATTTTGTAAGCCTAACTTTCTTTGTTATTTTTTAAAAGAACAAAAACTTTTAATTTTCTTTGCAGTTTAACTGTTTTACCTATTTTGATGAACAAATTAAATTTTTGACAAAAAAATACTCCTACATAACATCAGTGTTTGATTAATATTTAACTTGAAATGTTAAATAATTTTCTTATTTTGAGAAAAATTGCAAATCTTGTTCTAACAGTGAAAACAAAACACATTTTCATGTCAGTGTTAAAACAGTATATTCATTAATGTATGAAAGTCTATAATATTTATCAAAATATTTTAATACATTGATATATTTGTACTTTGGCAGTCTGTAAGTAAACATGATAGTTTTCTTTTCCAATTCCAAAACTTACTTATTTTGTTAACTTTATATTTGCTGTTTTTCTCTGTGAAATGTAATAGGAATTAAAATAACACAAGTTCCAAAATTTTCATGTTGTACATAGAGCAGCTGATACTACTAAAAGACACAAGTAAGCAACTAACAGATGTTTTCCTTTCTTTCAGTCACTAAATTCTCTCATGCATATTTTATATTTAGTGAATGCTTGTCTGCAGCATTTGTTTTTTGCTGCATCAGATTTCATAAGAATGTGACCTTGTAAACCATAATTTACAAACATGGTGCTCATTGCCATCAGAGCCCATAATTGTGCATGATTTTACAATGATGGTTGTACACATAAAATGTCTTTGCCATTCCAGGTTTCAGAATTTAATCCATGACCCTACTCATCTGTCAGTAGAAAATAAACTTTTAGCAACGATGGCTACATGTCACTCCTTAACCATGATAGAAGGAGAGTTGACTGGTGACCCTTTGGACCTTAAAATGTTTGCAGCGACTAAGTGGGTAAGCTATACTGTTTAGGTTTACAACCTCTCAAATTCTTTTTTTTTGCTGCTCTTTACTCATTGCCTGTTACATGGTTCGTACGGGTCATGGAAAACCTGGAAAGTCATGGAATTTTACTTTCATATTTTCCAGGCCTTGAAAGTCAGGAAAAATTGAGAAATTGACTAAAAAGTCATGGAATATAAAAATTTGTGAAAATTCATTCCATTTTTCACTAGAAGTGTAAATAAATTTAGATATTTCAACCATTTTCTTCCAGTGTTTTCTTTTATTCGTAACATTTGCCGATTGATTGTGAAAACGAGTTCATCACTTGCATTGCGTGCCTATATGAGTATTGTGTGTGTACAGTGGTTGTGTGTGCTGCTGTCTCGATCTCTGCATGCATTTGGATGCATATGCATTGTGTGTGTGTATTGCCAATGTGCACGTGGCAATTGCATGCACATGCAGGCCATAGGCGCGATGTCACATTGTTGCCAGATATACTATTTTGTATCCCGTGGAAATGATAAAAATCCCTTTAGAAAGAGAATTATAATTTTTACTTTTGATATAAACAGAAAATGTTATATGTATTTTTTTTCTGACCTGCTTCGATAATTTCAATACAAATAAAATAATTTACAAACCCTTGACATACCAATAGTTCGAAAATCCCAATTTGGCTGGCACGTACGCTAGCGCTATCTGGCTATACACGTGTACGTACGTGTGTTGTTACGTTACATGTTGACTCGCCCTGCTGTTTTATTTTCACATCCAACTTGGCATTTAATGGAGATTCTTTCGCAATATTTTTGTGACTTTTGACTGCTACAGTTTTTGAAAGTGAAAATCAAAATGCCAGGGAACTGTCATTTCAATGATGCTTGGTTAGAGCACCCTGTTTATCATGAGTGGATTATGAAAGTAAGCTCAAATCCGTCGACCGCAAGATGTGCTGTTTGCATGTGCAATTTCAGTCTCAGCAACATGGACGAAGCAGCCGTCAAGAGCCACGTGAAGAGTGAAAAACACAAGACAAAGCTAGTCAAACAACGCGGTAAGTTTACATTTCTTTTGGAAATATTGCATTGCTTATCTTTTGGTATCCAAACAAACATGTTTCCTCTAAATTGAAAGATTTGGTAGTAAAATCAAGATTTTAAATCATAATTCCGTAAGGTATACCAACTCGTTATCACGAGATCTCCGTAACTATCCAAAATGGCAGCGCCCATGAGACGATTGAATTCGGAGTTTCGTAAAATCAGAAGTAATTATTTCAGTAATTTGTTGATAAATTTTCAACAAAATTTCACAATTTCAGAGGTATTGTGTAGAATTTATCTCGCTTAAAACACAGCAAAATTATGTAGAAGGGAAGAGGAGTAAAACGAAAACTGCAAGTTAAAATTTTGTTGGTACCACTCTCAGAGTCTCAGTCTCAGTTTGATGTTCAACTTGATTTGTTTTTGTACAACAAGAGCGTTCTGTATCATGTAAAAATATGTTACAAAAATAGAAAGTGATAGGCAGAACACTCCACTAAGCTATCCATTTCAAATCTTTTGGCGGTCATTGGAATTGTCCAAATGCTGCCTTGCTGGGGGTTCGCAAGCCAATTTGTGTCCGGGTCACAAAGTCTCAAAGAAAAAAAAATTGAAATTAATTTAATAAATTTATAATGAAAGAGGGATGACTTGGATTATTATTTCAGCAAAGTTATTGACAATTTTATGATGAATAATATTATTTGCTTACTAGTTAATGTGTGCTAAGTGTACACACCCATCAAGTCAACTGACTGTGAGGTTGAATTACACATTTATTTGAATTGAAGTGGTTCAAAAGAATTATTTTTCGTAATGGTAAAAATGGATTTAAAAATTGTATTACCTGATTGAAGGAAGGACCAAAATTGCAATTTACCACAGATGGAAGCTCATTTTGTTTTTAAAATTTGTATAGAGTTTTACAAAATCCTGTCAATTATTATGGATATTTCAGAATATACACTGTAGACTATAAAAGAGAAAAAAATCTAGAATTATGATATTTTTTATTCTTAAGAAAACTCAAAATTGGATGTTAATACTACAGTAGTACCCATTTGATTTTTTTTTTCAGTTTCATATTGTCAAATTAACTGCTTTGATTTATGTTCTTTTTTTTCTTCAAGGCTCATGTACTCTCACAATAAAGAGCTTCTTCAAGCCAAAAGGAGAATGACCGTCAGTTTCTACCACTCAGTCTGCAGATGCAATGCCGAGTACTTGTGCTCCATCAACCACCAAAGTGACATCTCCCATTCCTGTTGCTGCCAGAGAGGATACATTGAAAGCAGAAATACTCTGGTGCCTGAAAGTGGTTGAGGACCATTTATCATTTCATTCCTGTCAGCACAATAGCGACCTCTTTCAAAGAATGTTCCCAGATTCAGCGATTGCAAAAGGGTTCCAATTGTCAGAGACAAAATGTAGATACATGACTGTGTTTGGTTTGGGGCCATATGTGCAAGATCTTCTGTATGACAACATAAAGAAATCCTCCCATTATGTCATCCTATTTAATGAAAGTCTCAATCAGAAACTGCAGAAAAAGCAAATGGACTTCCTCATAAGAATGTGGCAGCATAATGAAGTTCGCACTCACTACTTGACATCAGTCTTCATAGGACATGGTACAGCTATTCACCTCAAGGAAGAAC